ACGATTGCCAAGAGCGATCGGAGTCTCTTCTCGAATCCAAAAGGTTGCTAGGGTGGCACACCTATACCGGACTGAAGGAAAAATCGAAGAGCAAAGACGTTGAGCCAAATGAGAACGGTGACTCGACACCGATCCACTTTCTTCTTTTTTTCTTTTCTTCTTTTTCTATCTCTCTATTTCTCTCTCTTTTTCTCTCTTTTTCACGCTTCCCCTCTCTTTTATTTCTATTTCACTTAAGTTAGCGTATACGTCATCCTTGCGGTGATAATTTTAAACTCGAATAAGAAAAATAATATTTAACATCTAGGCACCTGTATATTTGTTTTTTTTGTTAAGAATCATGTCTTAGATTAAACAAAAGTACATTTTTCTAACGGGGGAAGTTGGTACGACACGCATACACACGTATACGTACATAATATTAATTTCTGAACGATTAGTCATTTGTATTCGTAACAAAAAAACATGATGAATTAAAGTGAATATTATATAAATTGAACTCTTGAATAATACATGCATACGTACATATATCCAATTCATAAGTATTTAATAGGAGAAAATAAGAAAAATTAGCAAGTAGGATTCTTTTTATGTAATAATTGACGTGCTTAGAAGAAACATATATTGGTAAATTGAAAAATATGGTAAGTTTCCTATGGAAAATCCTTTGACGAGCTTCCTTCTCTTGGTTAAAAGAATACCACCACCACTATTACTACTAATACTACTACTACTACTAATCCTGAACGTAGTCGTGACGTACGACGACCAAGATTTAGGATATCTATCGGGTCAGCGTTATGCGGAGAAAGAGAACCAATCCGATCGACTCCCGATTGGAATTTAAATTAGCGCGCGTAGAGTACAAAGAAAAGGAGAGAAAAACAGAAAAAGGAAGAAAGAAAGAGAGAGAGGGTGGGACTTTAAGGGCAGGCTCGTTACGAAACTTCGTTACTACCGGGTATTTTCAACCCCGAAGATCTCGATGGCCCCAGGGCGAATCCATTAAAGGTAAAAGCTTCTCGTTTACATCTGCCGTTCTCGGGGCTTCCCCCTTCTCCTCTTTCTCTTTCTCTTTCTCTTTCTCTTGCTCTCTTGCTCTCTTGCACTAGTGGCGTTACGATTCTCTCGAAACAGCAGCAGCTGGTTAGCGAGGCACCTTCTCGTACTTTCGCCTTTCCTTCTACGTAACCGTCGTATTATCCCGACAAACCGATTTAAGTTCTTTTTTTCTCTCCTTACCTTACCCCCTTCCCCCTTCATCATCCGTTATATTTATTTATATATATATGTATATACTTATTTCATAATTGATACCGGCATTCGTGAATTTTATTGAGTAATTCAGTCAACTGTATGTACGTGCAGGTTCTTCTTACCTTATGTCGTATTTCTTATCAGAGTTTCGTTGAAATTAGCAGGTATAGCAAAACATTTTGTTTACCAAGTCATTTTGTTGTACGTTTTACTATCATATTATCTCGACAAACAAATTTCGAGTTCTTGTTATTTTTGTCTTTTACACCTATTTTCGTTTTTCTATTATTTTATTTTCTTATCATTTTTTGATGTATTATATTTCATAACTGATATGGTATTTGTGAAATTTTGTTAAGAAATTTGGATAAATATTAAATATCATACGTAGATGTGTTTACTTGTTTACGCGCATATTACGTTACTTAAGATTTAGTTAGAACTAATGTAAGAATATATTTTCTATATCCTCGTATATTATCTCGGACAAACAAATTTGGGGTTTTTATCTCTGATGCGTTCCTTCATTTGGTTATATTATGTAAATACTTCGTAATTGATTAAGCATTTAGAAAATTTTCGCTAACATAATTTAAATAATGCGTTATTAGCATTATATCGTTGTATTATTGCAAACAGTTTTGTTAAAACGTATATTGGAATATGATAGATCGTAATATGTAAATTGTTTATCCGAAGTCACAGCATTAGGGTGATCGTGTTAGACTTATTATGGCTTCTTACTCTACTTCTCTCTATATGGCCTTCTATTACAGCGGCTTCTATCGGTTCTATCAAGTATAAATACAGTAAATTGACCGAGATAAGCATAAATAGATCTTTCGATAGTTTCCATTCGAATGATTTACAACAACATTTACAATTTGTCTTATTATTTTCTTTTTAAACGCATTTTTATTAAAACAAACACCCACACGCTTACATGATTATTAAAATTTTGATCTAACAATAAGATATTTTCTTAACAAATTTTTATTTAATCGAATTAATGAATTACATTCGATTATTTAGATAAGAATTAAACGATTTAATAAAAAAAAAAAACAATAAATAAAGATAAATACTTCGTGTCGTTTGGAAAAATTCTTCTTACGAGTCGTTTGGAAAGGAAACCGAGCAACGACGAAGCGTCGCGAAATCCAACGATAACGGCTTCGTGTGTGAGAAAAAGATCGTGCTGTGGAAGGATAGCAATGCGGTGGCAATGCGGAAGCGGTGCGAGGGAGAGAAAGATGCGTTTAACTGCAAGCAGTCGCTTTAACACCGTCAAGATGCAATGAGAGGAAGGGAAGAGAAAGGAGGGACAAGCAACGTCTTATACACATATCTACCCATATACCTATTCACACACTCATTACACAACCATCCATATACCTATACAATCATCCATACGTTCGTACATCCTTACATTCATATATGTATATATATTCTTAAATTCCTTACATACTATATGTACTCTTACATACCAATACATTTATCAATAGATCCATACATACATACGTCCTTATATTCATACGTATATTTTCACATACCTAACTATACACTTACTTAGCTACATACAACACATATATACTTTCTTACACACACAGATACATACATATATATACATACATTCATAGATAATGCGTACCTGCATAAAAGTATATTCGCATATACCAATACACATACATATGACACGTATATATCTATATACGCGTACGTAGAAACATTCTCCGTAGAAACTCGGCAAGTTCACCGTGTGAGATTCGAAAAGCCGACAACGATACGACCAAGAGGACAAGCATAGTCGTCTTCTCTTTGTGCGTTCTCGCGTTCGACGAAAGAAATATCCGGGAGGACTCCAGTGAAAGGACAAAGAGCTTCCTCTCTCTCTCTCTCTCCCTCTCTCTTTCTCTCTTTTTCTCCTTCGACACTCCTTCTATCGGTTCGCTGCTTTGGTGACCAATCCTTCCCTGTAGAAGAGAGTTTGTGAATTTTCGATAAAGAACGTTCAACCGTTCAACATTCTTCCTCCATTACAAAATACAGATATTATTATCTATTTGTTGAATAATTTGTTAAATATTTCGAAAATTTTCCTAAAATTCTACGTGGGTATTCGAATCCTTATATCTTCAGGTTGCTACGTCTATTATATGAGTCATGCTTATTCTATGAATCATTTACGTACTCGCCTTTTACACCTGTAGTATGAACTCTTATGAGCACAGGTAACATTTATGCTTTAAATTCGAAGGATATATTACCAAATAAAATAATCCTTCTCCTTTAAATTTAAATGATAATAATACTAATACTAATAATAATCATTATGATTAAGATCTTGATTTAAATCTGTAATATTATACTACGAAATCAATGATCCAGCCAAAAGATTATATATTCCTATACAGTAGAGTACATAACGGAGGACAGGTATACACACACTCACATCTACACACACATACGAATATACATGAGCTCATAGACGATGTGGCAGGACTATAATGTCGGAATGTAGAATCGAACCGGTTTACTCGAGACGCCGCGTATTTTCCAACGTCATGGTCACGTGAACGTGCTCTCTTAATCTCTCTCTCTCTCTCTCTCTCTCTCTCTCTCTCTCTCTCTCTCTCTCTCTCTCTCTCTTTCTTTCTTTCTTTCTTTCTTTCTCTTTCTCTCTGTTGTCCAGACAAAAATCACATTTATTTCTTCGCCTTATAACTATTTACATTTTTGCACGTGACCCTGACATTACGCAAAAGTCGCAAACCTTTTTTTTTTTTTTTTTTTCTATTTTTAATAAACATTTATAATATCTTTTATATAAAGACAATAGAATGATGTGTCTGGTTTCAAACACTTGAGAATTTACTAATTGGAAACGGATTTGTGAATGAGTTGGACAAGATTATCTATAGTGATCAGAGATAAGAGTGTGTGTGTATGTATATATATATATATGTTGGGATAAATAAGTATTTTATTGTCTCAGTTTTTCATTTTTCTCTTCTAGCACATCAAAATAATATTTTGCAATTCTATATTTATTTAATATTTGTAATAATATATTATAGAATTATCTCTAATGATAAAAATGTAATTTAATTCAATCTAACTCTATATAATATCTACATTTACATATCCAAATACAGAAAAAAAAGAAAGAAAATTAAATATCGCATATCCAATATATTAAAATTCATCATCAGATTAAAATCACATTATAACATAATTACATAGATTAGTATAAATATGTAATAACGCGATATTAATGTCGAACAATCTGTAAAATAAAAAATGAGGTATAGTCAAGTAAGTATTATCTCGGAGTGTCATCGTGCGCACACGTAAACGCATAGAAAGCGCAATAGATGGAGTGGATGGTTGGGTGGGAGGGAGGGAGGGTGGTTTATGGGAGATGATGGGGAAAGGGGGGGGAGGTAGGGAATAAACACACGTAGAGAGATGCATGCAAGGCGGCACACATGCGGCCGAGCGGGAAAGTCTGGCCTGGCCAACCGCACGTTCCGAGTACGAAGCACGTGGTACGTACGACGCGCAGTTACCCCTTTCCGTGTCGTGCCGAGAGTACTGCCAGTGGTGTGGTGGTACCGCTCTAGTAGTAGTGGGATTGGCGCTACTAGTAGTGGGGGTAACAGCGGCGGCGGCGGCGGTGGGAATAGTGGTGGGGATGTATGTGCGATGGCGATGGTCCCGCTAATGGCAGTGTGCGTCGAGCGGCGGCCGTGTTTGTATCTCTGTCGCGTGTTTACGTGTAAGTGCGTGCGTGCGTGCGTTGCACTCGTTTTCGTTTAAAGCTGTTAGAGCAGCAGCAGCGCAAGCAGCAGCAATAGCAGCTGCCTTCACACATATATATATATATATATATAAAGACGCGTTTATCCGTTGTATTATGTTTTGTTCTTTTCTTTATCCGTCGTATCCTCTCTAACACATCGAGTTTACAAGTTAGAGATTTTGTATTATATCATATTATTTTTATTTTGCAAGTGCTTCAATATTATTGGTTCTTTTGTATTCGGCTTAAATGTAACTTCCATTCGATTCGATGATTTACTTTCTCTTTGTTATTTATAGTGGAAGAAAAGGAAACGACACTTTAGAGTGAGAGGATAGTTGGTTCGCTCGTTGGTTGTTTACTCGCGCGTGTGAATAAGTGGGATGAAGATGATCGATCGTTGTTTTCCTCCTATTCTTTTTTTCCTTCTTTAAAAATTAATCCTGGTGAAGTTGATACGTGAAAAAAAAAAAAAAAGAAAAAGAAATAAAAAAGTTTTATCTTCTATATATTACAGTGGAAAAATAGTTAGAGGGAGTTGCCAGTGAGTAATAGCAGTGTGCGACACAAAATGTGCGGAATACAATTCGTGCATTATGATATGCGTCGGAGAGAATATGATTAGGCGAGAGAAGAGGATGTTATTACGAAGCTAGGAACGACATTGACGTGCCTTCTGACATATTCTTCTTATTTTTTTTTTTTTCTCCCTTCTTTTTCTTCTTCGTATATTCTTCGTTTGAAAAATTTAACATCAAGAAGAGACATAAGTCTTTTATGGTTGTTTATTTCTACGTGTGTCGAAAATCTCCTATCGAATACACCGATTACATTTACAAGGACGAGGATTTAATCGTTGTGATTCTACGATAGAAGAGCACGCTCTTGTTGACGTCATGCGTTCGATGAGCTCAGTCATTTGTGCAATCAGGTATGTATTACTTTACTATGCGTTGATAGGAAAGGGAACACGACGACGATATCCATACGGTTCTTTGAAAATGTGTATATAGCCAATTTTTTTTTTTCTTTTATTTTTTGTTGTCTGTTGTGTGTTCTTTAAATATGTTACTTTTAAATCAATATTGCGAAGGTATTATTAGATTTTATATTTTTATAGGGATAGTTTAAGTTTAAATAGTTTCTTATAAACAAATTTATTCTATGCATATAACCTATACTTCATTATAATAATAACACAAATAATAATATAATAAATATAAAT